CCTTTCACCATACTTCATTTACCCAATCTGCAAACATTGTGTCTTGATTCAAATCTTTTAGAAGGTTCAATACCCAAAGAGATTGGGCATTTGAAATCTTTGCAGTATTTGAACCTTTCCCAAAACAAATTGTGTGGACGCTTCCCAACACAGCTTGAGAATTGCTCCCTTTTAGAAGAACTATATTTGAGCCACAATTCCATGGGTGGAGACCTCCCATCTGAAATAGGAAATATGAAGAATCTAGTTATTTTAGATCTTAGTGCTAACAATTTCACTGGTCCCATTCCTTCCGCTTTAGGTCATTTAACCAATTTGGCTATCTTGTATCTTGATTCAAATCATTTGAAAGGGTCAATACCTTCAGAACTTGGGTATTTACGAATCTGGTATCGAGATGGCTTGAATCTCAGTTGCAATAATCTCACATGCCCAATCCCAGAAACTTTGGCTCGTTTTCCAAAAAACTCTTTTATAGACAACCCAGGTTTATATGGTTATCCTCTTAGCAACCCCACTACTTCGCCTTCTCCTTTCACTCAACATAGAAAAAATTCCAACAAAGTGATGAGACATTAAAATTATTCTTCTTAGCACCATTTCTCTTGTGTTGGTATCTCTGGCATTGTTGTTACTTTCTCGAAGAATAAATGGAGCAAAAAGTAAGGAAGCAATTCTAAGTCCAACAAAATATGGGGATATGTTCTCAATATGGAACTTTGATGGGAGGGTTGCATTTGAAGACATTATTGCAGCAACTGAAGATTTCGACATTCGGTATTGCATTGGTACTGGTGGCTATGGTAGTGTTTACAAGGCACAATTGCCAAATGGCAAAGTTGTTGCCTTAAAAAAACTTCATCGGAGGGAATCAGAGGTACCCACTTTTGACAGGAGTTTTAGGAATGAAGCTAAGATGTTGACAGAAATAAGACATAAGAATATTGTCAAGCTTCATGGGTTCTGTCTGCATAGACAGTGCATGTTTTTGATCTATGAATACATGGAAAGAGGAAGCTTGTTTTGTGTTCTCAGAGATGATGCTGAAGCTGTGGAATTGGACTGGATGAAAAGGGTGAATGTCATAAAAAACACAGCACATGCTTTGTGTTACCTTCACCATGACTGTATCCCACCCATCCTTCATCGGGACATATCAAGCAACAACATTCTATTAAACTCAGAGTTAGAGGCTTTGGTTTCTGACTTTGGAAATGCTAGGCTTTTGGATCCTGATTCATCTAATCATACCACACTTGCTGGCACCTATGGTTATATTGCCCCAAGTTTTTTCTATCAACATAACAACATTCTTCTTTTGTTGTCTTATTTCACTATTTACTATTAAATTGACATGTGAAATGTGTGATATACCTATGCAGAGCTTGCCTATACAATGGTTGTGACTGAGAAATGTGATGTTTATAGCTTTGGGGTTGTAGCATTGGAAGTACTAATGGGAAGGCATCCTAGAGAACTGTTGACATTGTTATCAAAACCATATTCTTTGCAAAATGTGATGCTAAGTGATGTATTGGACACCCGTCTATCACCTCCAAGAACCAGAAATGTTATCCAAAGTATTGTTGTTGCTGCCATGCTTGCATTGGCTTGCTTGCGTGCAAAACCCAAGTCCATACCAACAATGAAATATGTGTCTCAACAATTTGTTGCCTGCCAAAAACAGCTTTTGAAGCCTATTTCAACTATTTCTTTGTTGGAACTTGTAAGTTCTGATTTGGGGATGGAAAATGGAAGGGAACCTCAACCGGAAATTACATTAGAACTTGCAAAACTAAATACTGATTTGGGGATGGAAAATGAGAGAGAACCTCATTCAGAAGTTTCATGTCATCTAGATGAGTTCCAT